TCTCTCTGTCCCAAAAATAAATAAACGTTGAAAAAAAAAACAAAGAGTTGGCAGTGTGAATAAAAAACGTGACCCAACATTATTAAATAAATAAATAAATAAATAAATAAATAAATAAATAAACCCGTTCAAATTGTGTTGAATACTTGGTTCGTGTCTCTACCACAACGTAAAAATCTTACTTGATTCTCATTTCAGTGACTGCCGGCCATGGACTGTGAGGTCTACAAATTACCACCTAGAGATACTGGAGATATGACAGTGCTGCACCTCTCTGAGAAATCCAAGTCATGAGCCAGAGATTCCATTTCTGCCTGATTCTCTCTATATTTGAAAGTGGGGGTCTCTTCTAGGTTGTTGCTGTTGGCCTAACAGGAACAACCCCTTCCCGATTTGCAGTTCCCACCACAGCCCAAGTGGAACCATCCAGAGACCACTTCCACCCCACAAGCTTGAAGGCTCATCTACTGCCTTCTGGAATAAGGTTTTCTGGAGTCCAGTTTCAGTCTGTCCCTTTGCCTTGCCAAAGACAGATCCGCCTACTGGCTATTCTTTGCTGTAATGACAACTGTGCTCTAAGACAAACAACTTATTCTTAGGGGGAAACAAATAATTGCAACCATCACATGTGTTCCCCAACAGCCATTGATTCACAACGCTTATCCTCTGATAACTTACACAAAAACACAAAGGCTTGCTGGAAGACAATTGAATGAGTGTGATGTATTTAACAGAATTTGCATTCTATTGCATTGCTTCCTCTTTGTTTTTTTTTTTTTTTTTTTTAAGATGGTGAAATCTTTATAAGCAGAAAGATGATTTTCACCAACAAGAAGACTATTTTCTCCTGACGACCTCTTGGTCAAATCCCCAAATCTAACATGAAAAATACAGCAACTCACTTTTAAGCAAGTTATAGCTGGGACTTCAGTTTAGAGAGCGACAACACTGGAAGAGGTCCGTTTTATGGGGACATTTGGACAAAACTCGCCTGTTTTAGGACACGAGATAGAACAAACCTCTCAGCTAATCCTACATTTCAAAGTTTTTAGCAGTATACATTTTGGAACCTTCTGTGTGCCCCAGAACACACAATATGGATCTAATTAGGTCCAGCTGCCTTATGTTAGTAATAAAATTGAAAGAAAGAAAAAAAAAA